ATCAATAAGTCTTCTGGTCAACAGTGGGCTATTAATAGTTAAGTGCTGGGGGAGTCAAAAGTTACATGTGGATTTTTGACTCTGTAGGGGTATCTACGCTCCTAACTCCTGTGTTGTTCCAGGGTTTACTTTAGATATTGCTGTATTACCCTCTGTAGAGGCTTGATTAACTTACAACTGCCCCACGCCGTCACATATGAGTTTCCTCACACCCTCAGCAATACAATTTATCAGACTTTTTAAAGCTTTATTAATCATATAGGTGAAAAGTAGCAATTCACTCTCGCATTAATTTGCATTTCCCTTCCCAGGAGTGAGCTTGAACAGCTTTGCCTGTATGAAGTCCTGCATTCTTCCTCTGCTACAAATGAACCATTCAGGTACCTTGCTCAGTTTTTTATTGGATTGTTGTTGGTTTCTTTAAAACTGATTTCTAGCTGCTTTCTATATATCAATGCAATGAACATTTGGTCATTTCATATATGATCCAAATATTTTCTGCCATCATCATTGATCTTTTTACTTAGCTTATGCCTTCTTTGGTTTTGTTTTTGTCTTAAAGGTTTTGTTGTTGTTGTTGTAGGAGGGGCTGTCCACTGTTTTTTGTTTTTTTTTTTTAAGTTTATTTACTTATTTAAGTAATCTCCACACCCAACGTGGGGCTCCAACCCACAACTCCAAGATCAAGAGTTGCACGTTCTTCCGACTGAGCCAGCCAGGTGCCCCTCTCCAGTGTTTTCTTTTATGTCTCTGGCTTTTATGTCATGCCTAGAAAGCCTCTTCCACTCAGATTATCTTTTGTTTTATTATTTTTTTATTTTTTTTTTACTGTTTATTTATTTTGAGACAGAGAGAGAGCAAGTGGGGGAGGGGCAGAGTGGGAGAGAGAGAGAATGTCAAGCAGGCTTCTCACTGTCAGCACAGAGTCCAACACGGGGTACTCGATCCCAAGGATTAGGAGACCATGACCTGTTGCTCAACCCACTGAGCCACCCACACGCCCCTCAGATTATTTTTTATTTTTTATTTTTTTTAATGTTTATTTATTTTTGAGACAGAGAGAGACAGAGCATGAATGGGGGAGGGTCAGAGAGAGGGAGACACAGAATCTGAAACAGGCTCCAGGCTCTGAGCTGTCAGCACAGAGCCCAGCCAGTTGTGGGGCTCAAACCCACGAACTGTGAGATCATGACCTGAGTCGAAATCAGACACTCCACTGACAGAGCCACCCAGGTGACCCTGGGTGACCAGGTGATCTTTGACAGCTCTTTATGCTGTGTTATCTATATAGTGCTGCTATGATACAGAATTCCCAGAAGCCATTTCTCTACTCAGCCATCTTGGTCAAAAGAAACTCTGCTTCCAGAGTACTTGTCCAACAGATCACAGGTTTGGACCCCAGGTTGCTGGAGTCTGGGACTCCTCCATCTGTGCGCTCTGATACTCATACCATAACGAGACTGACAGAGGATACAAGTCTGTAGCCATGTGGCAGCACAGAGGGTGGTGTAAATACCAACTAAGATGTCTCAGAGGTGTTCAACCATTGCTTCAGCCCTGGGCTTCCACAGGGTTTCACTGTGGCTGCAGAGGGGCAAGTGGCAACATGGCCCTGGCATGCCCAGTCATCCCTGGGGAGCTCTGGAGCCCCGGGTGCTGACGGACATGGGCCATCTCTGAGCCACCAGTGAGGACTCTCAGATGGGGTATGTGATGGAGATCACAGAGCCTGTGAGATCATTTCCAGCTGCTGTCTTGAAGGGGGGGGGGGGGCAGCCAGGCCAGTTGCCTGGGATTCAGTCTTTCTTTCAGCTTCTTTGTGATTATTCTGGAATGATCTGACAGTATCCAAAATCAGGGCTTGGGAGAGCACAGGCAGCCTGTGGGTGCCAAGCCCACGAGTTGCTGCAGGGAGAATGAGGAGGAGGCAGAACAGGGAGGCCTCAAAGCCCCTGCCTCGGTTGTCAGTCCTGGTGGAACCGTGTGGACATCTGACTGCCACTGGATCGCTGGGGAGGGTCCAGCCCTACAGAAATCCAGCCCCCAGTGCTTGTCAAGAGAGGAACAGAGAAGTACGTGTTCAGTTGCCCTGGATAGAATATTGCTGTGAGAAGGAAAAATCGTCGGCTATTATGATCACGTGTTTCTCCCTTTCCCACAGCTGAGAAGACAGGTCCAGCCACGTAGGGATGATGGCAAGGTGTTTAGTATGCCACAAGTAAAACTGGTCAGGTACTATCATTACCATGCCAAGCTTGTTCATGCCCAAACACACACCCACAACCACACATTGACTCCCACTCCTGAGAAGCACAGGGCTGAGAGCATCGTGCCATTAGTTAGTACATTTGGCCTAGTAGAAGTGTCGATTGTTTGTTGAAGGTGGAAAAAACATCAGATTAGCACCAGATTAGATTTCCTATATTCTTTGGATCCTTTTCTCTGTCTCTTCTTAAGGCCCTGCCCCCACTTCCTTTTTTTTTTTTTTTTTTTTAATTTTCACAGGTGGTTCTTTTAGAGCTGTGTGCAGTGTTAGGGAACTTTAAGCCAGGTATAATTTTCCTTTATTCTTTCTTCATCCTGGGGAACTTTGGAGAACAGAAGGATCTCTTTAAAACTCAAATCAAGCCACATCACACCACTTTCTAAACTCACCACTTTGTCACATTTAGAATCATTGCCAAACTCCTGACCAAGGCCTTGAGGCCCCGTGTAATATGACATTTCTATTGGCTCTGCTCCTTACCCCAGACATACCGGGCTGCTCACCAGGGCCTCTGCATTTGCCCCTCCTTCTTCTGGAGTACCCTTGCCTGCCTGTTCTTGTCATGCAGCAGTGGCTCAAATGCATCTTCTGGAACGAGCTCCCAAGAGCCCCAACCATCCAACTGCCCAACCGTGCCTACCACATCACCCACCATGGTCTTGGGATACTCACTGCCATCCTCCAGTGAGATGTGAACTCCTGTTTTGTTTACCTGAACATGCCCCAAGGGCTAGACCATGCCAGGCCCAGAGTCAGGATGCAGTTAACGTTGGTGAGTGGGATTTCTAATAGCACTGGAGCCTCCGAGTGAGGGGCTGCTGGAGGTTCTATCTCAGAGACTTCCATGACTTGTCATTCTTTGGGCTGCATTTAGGGTCCTGCCTGAGTGCCTCCAGCCTTTGCAGCAGAGTATCTGAGGGAGACGTGAGGCCATCCCATAGCACGGCTTGTATTTTCATCCCTTAACAAGCAAGGTTAGCTTCGGAGACCATGAGAGAAATTCTGAGGGCCATGTGATAGGCCAAGCCACTAGCCAAGGCACTTCCTTTTTTTTTTTTTTTTTTTT